ATTTGGAGGGCAGGTTGTAAACCCTTTTGGCAGATTCCCGATGATGCTGGTTGCAACTACAGCGAAGCGTCGGACTACTCAATTGTAAAATGTTGTGGATCGCTCTCCAGCATTACGTATGTATGTTGAACTTCTTTCGCGCCGTATGTAGCTAACCGAGCCAATCGGAGGTACCGGGGAAGGACAGCGGTGGAGTTCTGAATCACTCTTAAATCGATCATCTTTGTTCATCGGTTTACAACACACATTTTACTTACGCGGCGATCTGACCCCCCCCCCCCCCAAAAAAAAAAACTTAGCACTTGTAATACTATGAGTTTTTTTATTGAGCAAGATTGTTACCGAACTTGGGAAGATATATAGGAGAGGAACGATTAATAAATGGAAGCTTAAGCTACATGCAATACATTTTGTTTTAAATCTCTCCTATCCGCACTGGGTTATTATTCCCGCCGCAGGATTTTCTGAGCTGGGCACGCGACCACCGAGTTGACTGATCGCTGTGCTGCGTGTCCGCGTGCGTCCAGTCACACAGCACTGTGGACGAAGACAACGATCCCACCCCCTACCCCCGCACCATGGAGCTGTGAGCGAGGCTTAGCGAACGCCTCTTAAAGCCGGCAAGGCACACGGGCGGGTGGATGGGTGTGTGGGTGAGTGGGTCGCCAGAACCACGCCCGATCACCTTTGTCTCCATAATTCTAAAATAAGACGATTGTTGCGATGACTTCGTGATCTATTATGTTTCTACCTACGTGACTTTACCGAAAGAACCAAAGAGTATGGATTCCTGCAGTCACGAAAGCTTCAATTCAAGATTCAAATCAAGATATGAACTAAAACTTAACTATATATATATATTTTTTTATTTTACCAGGTAAGGCCCACTGAGCTATACAGCTCTCATTTTTCAGAAGCGACCTGGCCGCAAAGAAGGGCTCAACGAAGTGGACATTTATAGCAGCCAAATACTCTAAATGTGGAGGGGGGGAAAACCGCATGACGCGGAGAAAAATCCACGCCACCACGGAGAGAGAGACACGCAAACTCCAATTATACAGACGTCAGGGTCGGGATCGAACCCACGAACTTCTCCATACCAGGCGAGGCAGATAACATCTCGCCACCCAGGCACCCTTCTGATATTCACATTAATTATGATCATTACAAACCGCACAAGGAACTCATGTAAGATGACATAGGGGAGTCTATAGACGTGCATGGTTCAGTTATTCGCCATCACCAACTGGAATCGAACTCGGGTTGCCGACTTCGTAGTAAAGTGCGCTAACAACTGCGCCCCCCCCCCCAACGCGATGCGCGCGCACGCGGCTCCGCCAGATCTTCTTCTTCTGCCTCTCGCATGTCCCACATACGTGACTGCCCCCCTCCCCACTGCGTGGTCAGCAGTGTCAGACGAGCGCCCTATATCTGCGCCTGCGTGGCGTCATGACAATTTGCTCCGAGCACTGAAATGAAACCGCAGTCAGTCGGAACGCGTGACAATAACGCGGATGCGAGTGAGTGCGCGCGCGTGTGCGCCCGTGCGTCCCACAATGTCAACAGAGAGCACCGATCAGAGGGCGTCCATCGCACAGTTTACGCCGACAAATAAATAAATAAATATAGTCCTATAGTCATAATGGAGAAATTCTGATGAGGCTAATGATGCTTCACAGTTCCTGTGGTAATCCGTTGCTGGCAGATGAAGGCCCTCCGCACGGTGTGTCGGTCATGGGGGTGTTTGTTTGAGTCTACTTACTTCAACCACGGGTTGCTGATCGGATGATGGAGAAAAGAGTGGCCAGGCGTGGTGCTCGCCACAGCACTCCCTTATTCACGCGTGGGCCATGGCCGCTCTTAATAGGTGCTCGCTAACAGCACTTGCCCCAACAGTCTGTTAAAGGCTATACGGGGGAATCGTTGTTTTTATTTTGTTGCACATGCGATGTCATAACCGTTCCTGGTCCTTCCCCCTCGGCCGACTTATCATTCAACCAGTTGCCCGGTGCAGTGCGTAAAGATTAGCACTGGGGGAGACAAAGACGGCCGGACCGTGGCTGTGCAGTGCTCACGTCGCTCCACCGTGACGCAATCATCACCATTTCATGATAGAGGTTGTTGGGTTAGATCGCGTAAATATATAAATGTGTCGTTAAACCCGCCACCACCCGACACAGCCAACTCGTAAGGGTTGTCACGTAAACAGAACGTGGCCAATTCGTCACTAGTACAGCACACCGGTGTGTTGGAGAGCCAAGCCATCACTGGCGAAACGTCGTACTCAGAGTGTAAATGTTGTGGCTTGGCTCTCCAACACCCCGGCTAGTGCTGTACTAGTATACTGCACTATACACTACACTGTACACTACACTATACACTACACTATACACTACACTACACACTAGTGCTGTACTAGTGACGAATTGGCCACGTTCTGTTTACGTGACAACCCTTACTAGTTGGCTGTGTCGGGTGGTGGCGGGTTTAACGACACATTTATATATTTATGCGCTCTAACCCAAAAACCTCTCTTATGAATGATATTGGTCGCGAAAGCCTACGTATTGGGTGCGGGACGGAAGATCGTAGAGACCCAGTGGCTGGAAGAATACGCGCGCCGCAGTCTTTATGTTAGCTGTAAAGCAAATCTTTGTTTGCACTTGGAATTACAGTTACGTATTAAACGATACTGTACAAGGAAAATGCACAATAAAAGTGCGGGGGGAAACTGTTACCGCGATAATCGTATCGTGACAATTTTATTATTTGATTATTCCGCTGTTCGTATCGTGACAATTGTTTTATTCGGTGATGCCGCTGTTTGTATCATGAAAATTTGTATGATTCTGTGATGCCGCTGTTCGTATCGTGAACAAATGTATTATTTGGTGATGTCGCCGCCGCTGGTATCCTTAAAAATATATATAATATGCGACGTTCCGGGCAATGGCCTTTCTTCAGGTCATGGCCTTTCTTCAGGTCATTGCCCGAAACGATGATATTTATAATTTTATTGTTATTTTCTTTTGAAGTTTTAAGTTTTTACTCGTGAAAAATGATCTCGCTGCAGCTCCACAATAGCCCGGATTCCGACGCAGGCCACCAGCGCTGCCGATTCATCTCTCCACTCTTCAGTCAATGTACAAACAACGGTGACATCGGACACGTGTTGAACATGGAATTGTATCGCGCTGCTCCATAAGCGCCGTAGGTGCACTTTGAGTGCCACGTGAAGGCCTAATTTAGCAACAAAGACAAAGAACCCCCGTATAGCTTTAACCGACTTTTTGGGGGGCAAGTGCTGTTAGCGGGCACCTATGAAGGCTGGAACGGAACACGATGGGGGTGGCTGGTCCGCACCACGCACGGTCACCTTTGTCTCCTTCGTGGCAATGTTTACACACCGCACCAGGTTCCCATTTGAGGCTGAGTCGACCTAGGGGAGGCCTAGGACCGAGAATTTAATTTGGGTCGCCTGGTTCGAGGTGCAGCGCCCTAACCGCTACACTACCCCTCCTTACAAAGACGAAGATAAAGACGAAGAGAAAGATGAAGAGAAAGATCCCCCGTTTAGCCTTAACAGACTGTTGGGGCAAGTGCTGTTAGCGAACACCTATGAAGGACGGAACAGTACACGAGGGGGTGGGAGGACAGCACCACCCCGACCGCCTTTGTCTCCCCAATGGTGATGTTTACACACCGCACCAGGTACTCCTTTGAGGCCGAGTCCCTAAGGGAGGCCCAGAACCGGTTCATAAAACTGTCACCGGAGTTGGCCGTGAGCCGGAATCGAACTCGGGTCGTCGGGTTCGTAGTGGAACGCGCTAACCACTACACTCCCGCGCCCCCCCCCCCCCCACACAGACATACGTGGTTGCAGAAGTCGCATCGTATACGTATGTCTACACGGGCGTATGTGCGCGTATGTGAAGAGCGGTGGGGCAGTGATTAGTGCACTGCACTCTAAGCCCGGCGACTTGAATTCAATTGTCGGCGACGGCGAACATTAGTGGCGAATGGGAGATATCTGTCCCGATCTCAGGCCTACTGAGCATAAGAACTCATATCCGTACACGGCCCTGAGCCAGTGATCGAAGTTCTACTTTCCCGTGACAGGAGCCAGTCTATGCGTGACCATAACTTCGTCCGCTACGTGATTGAACGGTGGCGCAGTGGTTAGCGCACAGCGCTGTGAACCCGGGCGACCTGATTTCGGCTCCCGGTCATGGCTGTATGTTGGCATGCATGTATATATATTGAACCTCTTTCGCACCGTACACTGCCAACCGTGCCAATCGGAGGCGGCGAGTGACATGTGCTCACGTGTCAACGCGTAGCTGGTGACGCGTGTGCGGAGTTGTGTCACCATCAGTGTCTGGAGAGACGACGGCGGCAGCGTGTTGTGCCACACAGACCCCCCCCCCTTCCCCTCGCCCCCGTCGAGCGCCAAACCGACCTTACCAACAGTGGCTCGCTAACACGACTTGCCCCAACAGTCGCGACACCAAGTGCTCTTCATGGCAAAGGGCAGCATGGGCCACTGGCGGCCCATGATGACCTTTGATACGGCACCTGACTTGAGAACACCACCCCACCACCATCATCATCGTTGCTGCTGTCAAACCCAACAATGGTTTCGAATGTGTGGCGGACCTTACGCCGATGACGATGTCTTGGTCGGCGAAAGTGCCCCCCCCCCACCCACCCCCTCCCCTCTGAAAATGAGCAAAGGGCACTGGTCTAAATCAAGTTCATACGGGGGAGATCATTGCCATTGTGTTTTTTCTTTTATGCGCGTAATCGAGAGGTTAAACGTGCCTCCCACTGTACGCGACTACGTGGTGAGCGGATCTACTTGAGCGTGCCTACGGCCTCAATCCCACCGACCCTTGACGCCGGCAAACATCTTCCACTCGGCAAGACGATACACTCCCTGCGCGAACCACAAACACGGGACGCGTGCCTCGTGCCATTTACCCGTCGCGTCCTGTCGCCACGTACGCAGCACCCAGCGTCTATTCCTTTAAATATGCGCGTAATCAGGGGCGAGGGTTAGAGCGTCGTGTGGAGGTTCTCTCGGTACTCGCTATCGACACCACCTGCTCTCGTCCACCTCTCTCTTGCTCCTCCTCGCTCTCGTCTCCTCTGCGGGACACATCATCGCAGCGTGTGGCCACGACGGTCTGAGCCTCCTCCGCGGGCGGATACGGAGGCCAATCATGGAACCGGTGCGCGCTCTTCGACCGATGCCGCTGCTCGCCCTCGTGGCGCTGGCTCTGACTACCGGGTGCCTGGCGCGGTGCTTGGTGGACAGAGGTAAGGGACTCAAGAGCTCGGGTCAACATAGGGCGTGGGGGGTCTTAAGCGGTATTTACGCAAAGATTATGAGTGCACACAGCCACCCAAGCTCACGGTGCGCGCCGTGATCAGCCAGAGGCGAAGATGTCCCCTTTAATCTCGGAGAGGCCGCGGAAAGACAAATTACCAGATTTAGACGCAAATCCGCCGCGGCCCATCAATTTGAGTCTTAACGCCGCGCGCCTGAGCGAGTCCTCTCCTGCGCTCTGAGCTTTTAATCTTCAATTCCAGGTCCATCGCTCTTACCTTGATGGGTACCTGTCACCTTTGGGAACAGTCACTCAAAGCATTTTTGTTTTTCCTTTCTCCCAACCCCCGAGGCTACCTTGTTACCGATTTAAAATGACCCCCTGCGCGCTGTCCGGCACTGATGTCCACGCCTCCTCTGTTAACACCTCCGATGTGCGCGGTTGGCTACGCGGAAGAAGTTCAACGTACGTACATTCAGTACACACGGACACCTGCCTATTCGCGCGTGACTGTTCACGGCTGTGAAGGTTCTCGTAGTTCGGAAGACTCGAAAGTATGTTTGCAACTACCTTGGCTCTCTCGTTAATAATGATAATAATTAATAATCATCATCATCATCACGATGTCAACCTGTAGCGCGCCGCAGCCGCGTTAAATACGCTCGCTCTCTGAGTCTGAACGCTCTCGAAGAGAAGGAGCGAGAGAGAGTGAGAGAGAGAGCGACTCAGGCGCAAGGAGCCACAGACGAGCGGAAAAGGCATTTAGGCAAGTGAGCCGGTGCCAAATCTCCCACCACCACCATGTGAAGATGTCATCGATCAATTAATGAGCGTTTACACGCGGGCGAGGGGACAACACTCTATCCCATGCAGAAGGGCCAGATGGAGTCCGCATTTTGCAGTTACCACCATTGTCTTGACGAGCCAGGGGTTATGTATGACACCTCAATGCCGGCGGGAAGGGACTTTCTCATACATTCTGCGATCCATAAACCCTGGCCTGCACATTGCTGGATTAAAGGCCACATGCATAGCCACCCACCGCCCACTGACATCCATGAACAGACCAACAAGATCGACTCGCCACAGACTTGAGAGACAGCGCTCGAAACGTGCTCTCGAAATGCATTGCCATGTCGGCAATAGCTCCCATCGAATATTACGAGTGAGACTTGTATCGTGTTCCAAATGAGATTTACGCTCTCTCTCTCTCGTAGTCTCAAATGGTTTTGGAAAATCTAAATTCCTTCTCCGGCACCGTGAGCGACGTCTCGTGTCTCCAGAAGCGCACGTGCGACATCAGTCACCACGTCCGAAGAGCTCACCGCCGATTTCATCGATGGAAAGTTCGAGAACATTAGAAATGACTTCGTGTGCTTTCTGACTCTGCCTCTCTCCTCCTGCTGCATGCAAGGCACGTTGGAAGTCGTGCCTTCCTGCGCCTTCCTGCTGTTTCGTGAGCAGTCCACCTTTTGTGCGCTGCTAACTATAACAGCAACACACTCTATAATGTGATGTCGACTAGGTTGTTTCGCCGTTCAGCGGAGCCGGTAGTGAGTTGATGAATTGCCGTGATGCCGCCTTACACTGGTCTAGACGGGCAGCACTTGACTATGTATTTCGATATTCTTAGGTTTTTTTGGTAAAGTCACGTAGGTAAAAAATTAAAATTAATAAAAGTAAAATAAAATAAAAATCACGACGTTTCGGAGGCAACACAAGCTTCCGTCTTCAAGCTTCAAATCTAGAAATATATATTTCGACCTTCCGCTAAGCCACATGCCAATGCATAACAATGCACGGCAAAGTACTCGCTTAACGCGTGGTCTACACGATAACGCGGTTTTTCCATGAGTGAACACTTTTCGCACAAGGCGGAATGCGTGCGCCGTTATTACGTGGAAGGCGCCCGTTATAACGCGGTTTCTGAGCAGTCGACGACGAACTACTTTCTTGAGCTCCGCGGCTGAGTGGTACGATACGGTACGCGCAATGATGCAGTAACGCGGCGGCGTAGTCTCCGTTGTTTCTCCCGCCATCTCACTGTGTGCGCGCGCATCGTTATCTCGCCAAACTTTACCGTCACATTATTTATGGGGGGATATTTGGCTTCGCTGAACGCGTTTTTCGCTTAATGTAGCCCCTCTACAGGAAAGCATCTACCGCGTTAACGGAGGACTTGCTGCTGTTTGAGTCCATCAACCCATTGGCTTACAGACCAATATTATCAAGCGGCATGTGTTAAGCAGGCAAACTGTGTGTTTGGTCTCATCAGCAGTCAGGCTTGGTGTTAACCACCTCCTACACATCATATTATACCCGTTTTGGGCTCCCTGCACTGGCATACAATATCACGTAGAATACAGTTAAACAATTATATCGTTAACTTACAAAGTAGTGAAACCATCATGGGACCTCCTTTGCCAGTACCAAAATATACTAATAGAGGTTTTCCCCTTTTTTTCTGGCAACAAAAACTGACACATTTTGCAAGGGATTTGACTGCATGTATTGTGGTTAATGTAAGCATGATTCCTTGCAAAAGGTGTCAGTTTTTGTTGCTAGAAAAAAAAGTGGAAAAACCCTATTAGTATAGTGAAACCATCTTGCCGCAGCCTACATCATTGACATGCTGCACTCATGAGTCCCCTTAAGGTCCCTAAGATCTGGGAATGCAGCTCTTCTCTAAATTCCCAGGTAGAGGTTTTGGTCTGTGGGTGACCGATATTTTCCCGTGTAGCCCCCAGGCAATGGAACGCTCTTCCACGAGACATCAAGATCTCCGAGTCTGTGGACATTAAAAAAAAAACGCGCCTTAAACCAATTTATACGCATTCGCTTGTTAATTTGTTTCTGAATTAATTAAATGATTTTTAAACGTATTTATACTATTATTTTTACGCTGTGTGTCTGCTGCTGCTGTGTCATTGATGAAAAGTGCCAAATGGAATTATTATGGTTACTGCATTGCCAGATGTCAATGGCACTATTCATTGACACATTGACTCACTCTTTGATTGATTGGTTCACTTAACACGAAGGTTTATCGGCCAATGGTATGATTCATAATTAATGATTGGGTAAGGCCACGTAATTATCTGCCAACATTGTACGCCGCAATCCCCCTCCTCCACCCGACCCATCCAGAGACGTGCTACTCTACGCGCGTGTAACGCGTCCAACTGCTCCTACTACCGTAGTCTTGTTCACAGCTGACCTTGTAAAAGTTGAAGACCAATTCTCATGCCCGAAGGTGGCAATCAGAGTGACTTTACCGAAAAAACCTAAGAGTATGAATCCTTGCAGTCACGAAAGCTTCAAATCTATAAGCAATTGGGTTGCTCGGCGTTGGCCGTTAGCGACGGACGCGGAGCTCATGCGGTCTGTCCCCCCCCCCCTCACCTCCGTCTTTCTCTCTCCGCCTGGACTTGCCCCGGGTTCAGGTGAGCCGTCGACGACCACGGTCAAGACGCCGAGACCGGAGTGGTTCAAGATGCTCAGCTACGACCCGTCCCTCCCCGAGCCCGTGGTCCCACGGGTACCGACCAAGCCGCCCACCACCCCCACCACGGGGGCGCTGACGAGGGTTGCACCGAGCAAGGGAGCCCCGCACGGTGAGCCACCCAAGGAGGAACCTCCCAAGGAGGAGCCATCCAAGGAGGAGCCATCCAAGGAGGAACCACCCAAGGCTGATCCACCCAAGGCTGATCCACCCAAGGAGGATCCACCCAAGGCTGATCCACCCAAGGAGGAACCACCCAAGGCAGATCCACCCAAGGCTGATCCACCCAAAATTGAACCACCCAAGGAGGATCCACCCAAGGCTGATCCACCCAAGGCTGATCCACCCAAGGAGGATCCACCCAAGGCTGATCCACCCAAGGCTGATCCACCCAAGGAGGAACCACCCAAGGCTGATCCACCCAAGGCTGATCCACCCAAGGCTGATCCACCCAAAATTGAACCACCCAAGGAGGATCCACCCAAGGCTGATCCACCCAAGGCTGATCCACCCAAGGAGGATCCACCCAAGGCTGATCCACCCAAGGAGGAACCACCCAAGGCTGAACCACCCAAAACTGACCCACCCAAGGCTGAACCACCCACAGCTGAGACGACAACGACTGAGCCATCCCAGAAAGGGTCAGCCAAAGAGAAGTCACCCAAGAAGGAGTTGACCACCACGCAGTCGACCACCACTCAATCGACCACCACTCAGTCGACCACCACCAAGCCATCCACCACGCAGTCGTCCACCACTCAGTCGACCACCACCAAACCATCCACCACTCAGTCGTCCACCACTCAGTCATCCACCACTCAGTCATCCACCACTCAGTCGTCCACCACCAAGCCAACCACCACGCAGTCATCCACCACTCAGTCGTCCACCACGCAGTCGACCACCACCAAGCCAACCACCACTCAGTCGACCACCACTCAGTCGTCCACCACCAAGCCAACCACCACAAAGTCGACCACCACTCAGTCGACCACCACTCAGTCGACCACCACTCTGCCTCCCAAGAAGAAGTCATCCACCACTAAGTCATCCACCACTCAGTCATCCACCACACAGTCGACCACCACACAGTCGACCAGCACCAAGTCATCCACCACTCAGTCGACCACCACACTTCCGAGTGATCCGCTAAACAAGAAGGCGGTTAAACAGTAAAGAAGAGAGATAGGAGAGAGATAAGAAATAGCATAGAGGTAAGAGATAGGAGAGCCGACGGATAGGAGAGACGAGAGATGAGAGAAAGATGTGATAGGAGGAAGATGCGAGGAAGAGAGAGAGATAGATACGAGATAGGAGGGAGATAAGTTATAGTAGAGAGATAAGAGATAGCAAAGAGACACACTATAGAAGAAATATAAGGCACAGAAGAGAGAGGGAAGGAGGGAGAGAGGAGAGAGAGATATCAGCCAGACTCAATCATTTGGGGCAAACCCTCTGCGCAAATAAGTCCATTGCAGGGGGGGGGGGGGGATCGACAATCAAACAAAATAACGAGAAGAGATTTTTTTATCGAATTTGGCAACAACAACAAAAAAATTCAATATTACAAGAGCCCCATTGTAAGTGGTGAGTACGAGACGGTGGTGGACCTTGATAAGAAACGTCACGAAGCAGTCGTTAAAGATCCGCGGGATGGCCGAGCCCCCTCTCCTGGTTGATGCTGGAGCGACGGCGCTTTTTTTTTCATCACGGCGTCACGAGTCGCGCGCGTCACCACCCATCCACGACGCAGCGAAAAAAAAAAAAGTCCAAATTTGCCTTCGATCAGAGAGTCAGTCACCAGCCACATCGGCCTCGCAGCTGATATTTTAACGGGCCAAACGAACGGACGAAATCCCAATCGAACCCACTCGGAACGGACGAATTAGCTCGTTCCGTTCCGAGTGGTTATACAAACATTCTGACGGAGCAGCGGTCCGCTGATTCGGTCTAAAACTCAACAGCTCTGCAACAAAACAGCGCAGGGTCGCACACGGGATAGGCTGCGGCATTTTCGAACTTTAGTTTCTTTGGGACCCCTTTTTTTTACAGTTTATTTTTTTGTTTGTGTGCATGTTTTTGCCACAAGTACGTGTGGTGGTTAATGCAGACTTGATAGGCCTTGGCATAGGTGTTGTATATTTGCTGTTTGAACATCTGAACGCCTCCTGTTTGATTGCCAGAAAGGGTAAAAGCATATTCTTACTTTTTTCGAACTTTAGTTTAAACATTTTTTGGGACTGGCCCAAAATCTGTGGTTTTTCCTCTCCAAATCAATCCTCCTTCCCTCCCTCCCTCCCATTTGCTTCTTTGCATGGTTATTTCCCGAATTAGCCGCGTGCATTTACATAGCTAACCCGACGAAAATGGAAGAACGTGATATTTAACTAATGTAAAGCTTAAAAATCACATCCCGATCCAATGTTTACACCGCAGTGATTCAATAAGAACACGATGTTACACAAGGCATAGGAAAGATATAAACAAGAGGTAGGAGACGGTAAAGAGGTAGGCAAGGTGTGAGTTAAGAGAGAGAGAGAGACAAGACATTGAATAGAGATAGAATATGAGAGATAACACGAGAGAGAAACGATAGGAATTAGATAAGGGCTAGGAGAGAGATAGTGGAGATAGTGGAACGTGCTGAGACACGGGTGTGTGTGACGATGGGCATGTACCAACAATTAATCAAACTTCGAAAATATATTCTTATCCGCATGATGCATGCATCGAATCGTGCTTCTAAATAGTCGATTATTTCTCCTTTACTATGCAAATCGTATGCTTATTATATATTGCCGGCGTGGGGCTGCGAGGTGCCGTATGTCTCCGAGTTCGCTGGTTTCCTACCAAACGAAGCCAAACAAAGGCGGGATGATACATCCCTCGCCCGCTACGCAGTAGGTTATAGGTTCGATCCCGGACCCATACGATGCCTCATATATATTTGGACTTCGCGTGTTTTCCTTCCCCGTGGTTACGAGGATTTGTCTCCGGGTCCTTCGGGTTTGCCCTTCACATTTAGAAACGTGTGCTTATGTTGTTTGGCTGCTGCTTTAAATTCCCACGTGTGACGATGATGATGATGATGATTATGATGATATCAGCCATTTAGATGAGTTATCATCACGTATGACCAGGGTCGCCTTCGACACAGAGCTAATAGATCAGTGGGCCTTACCTGATAAAATATATTTTACACTAAAAAAATGTAATTGGCCAAACGTCCGAATGTAGCAGGGCCCTCCTGAAAATACATTTTGAAACTCAGCGAGGCTGCTCCTGTGCAGATAATTGCTATCACTATAATGATTAATCAAGACCATTCGTTTAATTTAGCATTCCATAACAACAAAAATAGCAGTTGCATTCATGGGCAATGTGCAGCACAGGTAGTATAAGATTAACTTCTCGAGACTCCAGAGAGTTCGGCTTTGGTACGAAGAGGTGGGCGAGTCAGGAGCAACGTCTGTGTTATTATGCAGGTCAGATAGCTGCAGGCGTTTGATCAAGATTAGTAGAAAAGGGCCTCTTGTTTTCAAACCACAGATACTTGCAAAGGGCGCTCGGAATTTCGTGGTAGGATAAGGTCGATAATACAGCAGTACCGTTGGCAGGAGAGCATCCGAGACGTTAGCAGGACGAGGAGGGGCTTCTGATTGGCACACGTGCGCAGGGATGGAGAAGGGCATGCGACCTGCACAGCTGTTTGAATGCCACCCAGAAGGTTGGCGACCAAGTGGAAGAGACCTCAAGTCAGGTGGCGGCGATGATGGACGCTGTGAGAGTGACCTTTGGGGGTGGACCTGTGGAATGCGTAACAAAGGGAAGACCTAACGCCAGATGGCGTGAACGATCAGACTGTGTGAGAGAGAGATGGACCTCCGAGGCCGGGTGTCAACTTTGCAAAACCGCTGCAGAATCCGGCATGGGGCAGGAAGAGATTGCGAAGTGGTGATGGCATAAACGGAATTGTTTGTCCGCTATGATCGCTAGAACTTGACTTTGAGGGAGGGGTGTCGGGAGGGGTGCATTGTTCATTAGGGGGTAAGGGAGTGAGAGCTGAGCTCCTCTTTATGCCTCGAGTTTCCTGTCTGGTTGCTGGCTGGGCTCCTGTACACTCCGACAATGACTATGTCCATAATACAGGTTTTTTTTGTGGTTAGATCGCGTAAATATATAAATGTGTCGTTCAACCCGCCACCAGCCGACACAGCCAACTAGTAACGGGGGTTGTCACATAAACAAAACGTGCTAATTCGTTACACGTACAGCACACATCGGTTGTGTGTCGGAGGGCAAAGCCACAACATTGACAATCTGTCGGGTGGTGCCGGGTGGCGGGTTTCACGACACATTTATATATTTATACGCGATCTAACCCAAACGGAAGCCTGTATTATGGATGATATTGGTCGCGAAAGCCCAACCACGTGTTAAGATGCCGGTGTCGTTGGTCGTGGCGGCTGTGGGTCAACGCCACAGAAAACTAAGCTGAGTAAGTAGCAACTGGCCGAACGGAGTTTTCCGTGTAACAAATAAACATTGAATTGAGAAGTTCGGAAGGCGCAATTACAATATCAATAATAATTATCGATAGCGACACCAAAAAAGTGTGAGTAACGAATACAGAAGATTGACCACGATTAATTTCAAATTGCTCTAACTCTTTTTTTCAATCCGTGCTTCTTATCAATACAACTCTTTCGCTAGAATGTTCTTAAAATCCTAGGATGTATATATGAGCCCACAACACATATCAGGATGGTGAGAAGGGTATGAACATGACAACTGTAAACAACAATAATCACACGCACCAGTTGCTGTTAACGCCTGCACTGTGTGTGGCACATCCATGTTGTCAATCCACTGCTGGTTTGAGGGCCTCCCCACGCCGTGATGGTCGTGGGGGTTATTTGACCATACTTCACCACGTTAGTCAGTGCGGGTTGGTGAAGGTGGGGCATCTTCCTCGACAGAGGGGATAGGGGCGTAGAAGTACAGTACAACAATGGACATCACTGCACCTCCCTCTGCTGTGCTACAGGTTGTTCCAAAGCGCGGTGTCCCAAACGAATCCTCCCGAGTCCACTCGTTTCCATATACGGGTGAAGTAAGTCGTTACACGCTGACCGCGCCTGATGATTGTGAAACACTTTCCACGTGAGTTACGTAGAGTGTGTGGAGCGGCGGTGTCGTGATTATCGCACCTGCGCCTACTACGCATCTGGCAATCTGAGTTAAATTCATCGTCACGATCAACAGCGGCGAATTTCGAACCGGTCCTGGGCCTCCCCCAGGTCGACTCAGCCTCAAATGAGCACCTGGTGTGGTGCGTACACCTCGCCACGAGGGCGTGGTGCTGGCCACACGCCCCCCCCCCCCACCTCGTGTGCCGTGCCGGCCTTCATCGATGCTGGCGAACAGCACTTACCCCAACAGCCTGTTAAAGGCTATGCGGGGGGGGGGGGGGGGATTTTGTCTTTGTGTTGTGTATCCCCCATGTTGGGCCAGGTGTTGTTAGCGAGCACCTATTAAGGGCAGCACGGCACACGAGGTGGTGGTGTGGCCAGCCCCACGGCTGGCAGCCTTTGTCCCCAACAGTCTACGTAGGCTATACGCGGGGGGGGGAGGGGGCTGCGGGGAAATCATTGTCTTTGCTCCACGTGGCTGAAGAATTCGAAGGTTAGCGGCGCTCCCGACGTCACTCAGGTGGGAGGTGCTTCACAACCATCGGGCTCGTGTAGCGTGCATACCGAATTGAATCGCATTTGAATGGATGTACACCGGCAGATTCGAAATCACGCACTTTGCTGGGTCGCGAGAAGCATCGGTTGCGGAGACCGATTTATTTGAAGGCATATTTCACGAAGAAGTCAACGCAACGGGGTACTCGTTCCCGTGTCTCTCGGCCTTCATTGCGCTCCCGTGAAGTGACGCTAACAGCATGTTGTAACAAATGTCCAGGATCCAGTGAAGGTAACAATTGAAAAACATCTGATATTTAACAACAACAACAACAACAAGAATAATTAGATGTACACAATTGATATCGCTTCACACGTGCACTACTCATACGTTATTCATAACGAAAACTCCCGCGAATAAAATAGGGCATTGTTACCTGATCTGCGGATTCGAACCCGTGTCAAACGAGGTTACCCATCCACCTCACCCGCCCCCTCCACCCCACCCCACCCCATCCCCCCACCCGCCCCCTCGGTCGCAGAGTCTCCTGATCCGACCTCTGCACCCCCCACCACCCTTCACCGGTGCCTCTTAGCCAGGTAGCTGTCACTCCCAAACTCCCACCCCACCCCCACGCATCCATCTCCCGCAGTGTATAATTGAGCTGTGTGCGGTGAGCGATTTATGTATTGGCTGTGTGTTCAGATCCGGTTGTCCATAGAGTTCAAATGCCGCTATCCTTGGCTCACTTACTTCGCCTTGCGAAATGAATCTCTCCTGTGTGCTCACCCTACCCGGATCTCGGTACACAAACCGCGACTCATCCCGTGCTGTTGTTTCACTGGATCGCCTCCTTTACATCAGAGAGGAGGAAGAGGTGGTGGACGAGTGTGGGCGGTGGAAGAGTTGGTGGTAACGGGAAGCTCTGGAGAGAGAAAGTTAAATTAAAACGCCAGAGTGCATTTGAATTTAAAGTACACAAGAATGAGAAGTTAATTTCCCACTGAGCTAAGGAGCTCGTATTCAAGGGCGACTCGGCTGGCATACAACATCAAAGCATTCCCACAAATGGAATTGTATGTACGTACATACGTACAATGAATAGCGCTTACAAATTATGCATTTACAACACAGGAGTAACGTTAATGCGTAACAACACGCTCATAGGTCAGGATTTAAACACACAATCAATGATAAAAAAATAGCCAACCTTTCATCATGATAATCATGATAATCATCATCATCATCTTCAATCATCCTTAAATCCACATGTTTATTGAAAAATATACCTGCTGTCGGAATGGGCTATCATTGATTTATCATCATCACCATCATCATCCTTTCCAAAATGATCATCGCTTATTTCCAACGTCGTTATCATCATCTTAGCCTTTGCAAAGGTCGAGGATTGTGCAATCATCATCACATTTAACATTACCTATCGATCATCATCACCACCATCAAGGCTTTCACAAATGGTCTGCGGATTGCGCCAACGTAACATCAAAAATGATCGTTGGATCATCATCATCATCATGATTCTAATCATATTCATCCCTTCCACCATGGGCTCTGTGGATTGTTTCCATGGTTCGTGATGTCCCGACATCAGCATCGTCCCGCGCGCCAATCTCACACCGAGACTCCAAGTCCCGATTGGTTCTCTCTCGCCACGACTCCAGACCTATTATTGATAAGCGTTCCGAATTGGATGGATGATAAGCAAAAATGCGGCTTTTATTTACCACGGAGGGAAATGCTATCACTGAATGGAGTAGCTTAGTTGCCATGCCCCCCCCCACCTCCCGCGCAATTAATTTTATTTCGCACTCCTATCGGCGTTTTTTGTTGGTGCGAAGTTTGTTGATGTAACTCGCTGACCCGCCCCCTTACTGGACATCCGTGAAAAAGGGCTTAGTAGCTCGTCGGATTCCTCCAGGATAAAGATTGTGATTCTGAATAAAAGTGCCCCCCGGAGTAATTCCTCCCTTGTCCCATTCGACTCTCGTCAGTCCCGGTGCAGTTGCACCGCCTGCACGCTTGATCGCTACTTCATCGGTTATCAGTAAAGTTGTCGGGGTTGTTGTTGTTGTTGGTGGATTGAAATTTTGTTGTTGTTGTTGTTGCTCTGGACACCCACGGGGTTTAAGGTGTCCGGTTGTGGCTCGGACCCTGGGGCTTATACAAATCGAGCGATCACATTTGTGCCTCTGGTAGTTCTATAGATGGGTTTTTGATGAGCAGGTAGTCTGGATTTTACGGGGGGGGGAGGGTATCTTATACGAGGCTTGCTGTGCTTTATCGCGGCTTAGCGCACACATAGAAATGCAATCAAATAAAAACACATGTAAAAGCAGTCTCCCGTCGTGTGCGTGATTTTTGTCACTTTTTTTTTGTGCTGCCACGTGTCTGTCGTGGGTCGCTCTCGGTCACGTGATTTACATGTCAACAACATCGAGTGTTTCGCGTTGAGCTCTTTTCAACTGCAAGGTGCGTTAAGAGGATGAGAGGCAGCAGTGAGGATGAGAGATATAATGGAATGTGCCGTGGTAGAGTTAGGGTCAACACACGCGTACATTTGTAATCGAACGTGGTTAATATGGGAAGTGATGTGCGCATGTTCATTGTAAAGCCGAGTCGCGTTGGTTGGAACACGTGACATCTTACAACATCAAATGCAATCTCGTGGTCTTTTCTATTACGAGGTGCGTGCGGAGGATGTGAGATGCATGCTCGTTGAACTTCTTTCGCACCGTACATAGCCAACCGCGCTCATCAGAGAGTGCGGGAGAAAGGACAACCAACTAAATACAAAAAGCAGTGTCATGGAATGTGCCGTGGTAGAGTTGGGGGTCAACACACGCTGAGATGTGTAAACGAACGTGGTTAATATGAGAAGGTTAATATATATTGTAAAGGGTTGGTTGGAACACGTGTGCAGCATGGCGGAGGAGGGCAGGTTACCGAGCCAGGCATTGGGGTGGCACTCGGAAGTCGGGAAGAGAAGACTTCAGGCCAAATGGTAGTCGCGATGATGATGATGGTGTTGTTGACTTGGTAACAACTTTGAGATGTAGCGGAAGGAACGAGGCGATGACAACGTGTGATGCCATCGGCGGCATTGCCCGTTATGACCTCATGACTGTGACCTCAAGGTCAAAATAACTGCCCCGACTGGCAGACTAATATACCCATCTGTGAAATATAGCGCCTTTTGGTAATAGCATTAAGCTGTAAGAATGCCGAGTGTATTCATTGTGATGATTATGAAGGTGTCGCCACGATCTATTCTCAAGCACAAAGACTCGTCTCCGTATGCGGCACTGATTGGTGGAAATTCAACATTGCCGTGACAGGGACCAGTTTGTCCATAGATATAACCCAATACAGCAGTGATTAGCGCACTTCTCTCTGAACCCAAAAGTCAACTCCGGACGACGGATTACTTTGGTGGAGATAACCTGAACGTATATACTGGGCATCCCCTAGGTCAACTCAGCCTTGGATGAGCACCTGGTGCTGTGTGTAGACATGAGCACTGCTGAAGATAAAATACCACGGGCATGGTGCTGGCCACACCACTGCCTCGTACCCTGTGTCGACCTCAATAGGTGCTCGCTAACAGTACTTGCCCCGTGTGTGTGTAAGCCTACACATTATTTAAGAGCACGTAAATTTGAATAAAAACAAATGTAATGTGCAACCGTTCCTAAATCCACTGCTGTATGCAAGTCTCCCCATCCAGTATCGGTCACGTGTGAGGTTATTCGACCATACTTCCCCACGCTGGTTTAGTGTGGGTTTGGTGAAACAAATAAAAAACCGGTTCGGATATCCCTCGCCACGGATGCTCGCCGTGGCAGGGACTCAAACTCCATGCAGGTGGCTGGGTTCATAGCGCACCGCGCTAAGAAACTTTCACGACCACCGTTCCAGTCAACGTCACTTTATCAAAAACGTTGGCAAACTGCCCCCAGTAAGTAATCACAATTATCATGAAACAATTCACAAATTCGATAAAAACTTATGGCTCACCGTGGCTAGTTTGTAAAAAAATACAAATCCGGGTGCGTGGCTTTGCGCAAAGCACTGCTCACATATTTACAAACGGAACATCAAACACATCCAAGCCAGATTAATTTGTATCCACTAATTCCACCGTCGCTCCATCACCACCATCCATCAATCTTCAATCCAAGGCTCATGTCCACCACACTCCCCCACCCCACCCCCAGCAACTTATCCACGCAACCCACACCCCTCCTGCCATCTTCACGCATGCAGGTACACATCCTCCCCTCCTACCACGGCCCATGGGCTGCGGATATAAATACACGGGCAGACAGAGACGGCACCACACTCCACCACTCCAGGTTCCAACTCGCTTGCTTCGCTTGCTTTGCTTGCTCCGCTCACTGCGCTTGCTCCACCCGCCGACTCACCCGTCCGACTCTGCCTCTCTGCACGCACGGCACGAAGAAAAGAAATCGTCATCATGCTGCTGGGCACGTCCGTGACTCTGCGTCTACTGCTCGTGGTGGTCCTCGCCACGGCGTTGGTGTCGTCTGTTCCTCTGCCGGGGTCCAGTGGTGAGCCTTCACCGCAGAGCACGATTGTTTACAACGTACACCCCATCACCATCATCGTCTTCATGCCCATCGTGCACAGTCATTTGCATTCGTCCACTGCTGGATGAGCGATTTAAAATATATATAGCGGCGTTCATGCAAACAGCAGCAGCAGCTCACAACGCATCGTAAGCAGCAGCGCACGGGAGGTGCAAATGTACGAAGACGTGTTCAGCCAATGAATGATGAGTTGTGTATTATACGCGCGGGGCGATAAAAACCGGCGCGTGCGAGGGAGCAATGCTCGATCCCCCATACAGAAAGGGACAGATGCCATCATCGTCGTTTCAACCTTCCGCTCCACCCCAAACACTTTCGCAAGAAGTTCTGCATCGTGTTATAGATGTCATCATCACCGTAGATTGTGGTATCATCATCATAATCATCGTCAACTAAATACAGGGTGATCCATTTTTAGGAGGTACACCACTAAAAGTGTGATAATTTACGGAGAATTAAACATTTTATTCCCACCGATCTCAACACACGCATAGGGAGCTATCGCTTGCAGACGATTCAATCGCCTGTTAAAATAAGGAGGCCCATTAGACTTAATCCCCCAGCGCTGATGTTTGCACACACGAACAGGTACTAATGTAAGTCTGAGTCAACCTAGGGGAGGCCCAGAACCAGTTCAATTGTTCGCCACTGTTAATAATCATATAAATGTAGAGGCCTTTGACATTCCGCTGCTGGACAAAGGCCTCCTCTCCACGCTGTTTGTCGTGGAGCTTGTTTGACCATACTTCACCAGGCTGGGCAGTGCGAGTTGGTGAAAGGAGAACGAAGGGGGGCCCAGGACATGTTCAGATATCGATTCGCCACCGATGTTAAGCCGTGGCTGGGGATTGCACGCAGATAACCCGTCTGATAGTACAGCGCGCCAATCACTGTACCACTAGCTCCACACATACGCACGCAGCGATTGACCTGAACATTTGGATTGTGACCTATGCAGAGTCAAGTTACGCGTGCAAATAACAACTTATAGGGCAGCCCCTCCTACAAGAAGGGGTGGCGCGGCACGCAATATGATCCTCAGCACTCACCACACGCATCTCACTCCACTCCTCAGTCATCTCTGACCTGACCTCACCACCAGACACTCGTCACTCAACTTGATACTGCTGTCGAGACAGCCACCGCTCACTTAACCGCACCACTAAAACCTCACGGACTCACACGCGCACGACAAACACACACCACTCACACAAAACTCACACACACTCAACCACGCGGTCACTGTTTTCGTTTCGATCAAATCCCAGTTTGCGCATGGATGAAATTCAATGCCATACACAGATCCCCGTTTCAATCCTGCTCAAAATACGTTCTGAGCGGACTCTAATGCAACGAGTTGGCCAAACATCCCAATATAGGATCACAGATCTTGGGCAATCGTCTTGTGGTTTCAGACGCTTCCGTACGATTCCTGTGCGGTCTATAAATACTGCAGCATTTGGAGGTGCCCTTGGCGCAAATTACGCTGTGGACAATTAACAATAACACGATCACATACCGTGTCAACCAATACGGTTTACCCCGTATTCTTGTCCAGGGAAATTGAGTTTTCAGGTCCATACGGCGTACAGCCGTTTCAATACGGGCAAAACAAGTTTGTGTCTTTTTGTTTGTGATTCTCCCTAATGATGGGATTTTGTAGGATGAACGTTGAGATGTATAAGGGCATGGGGGGTCACCAATAAGGTCTGGAATTGGTCTGTAATAAGGTAGGGCACTGACAAGGGGTTAACAGGGTTGCGATAAATTTTCGATTTAAAGCTTTCGTGACTGCAGGGATTCATCTTCTTGGTTCTTTCGGTAAAGTCACGTAGAATGGAAATAATAAAATAATAAAAATAAAACATAATAAAAATAATTATCACGACGTTTCGGCCACAACGCAAGTAGCCGTCCTCAGGTGGAGAACAGGTCTGTCGAGGAGACAGAGTCCATTCTACGTGACTTTACCGAAAGAACCAAGAAGAGGTATGCGGTCGTTACTCGAGTACATGGTGCATTACAAATGTGTCCCCACCCCCCTTTTTTATTGTTTCAGGAAAAATCCAAACGGCCGTGGGTGACCCTCTGGTCTTGTACCTGCCCACGATTCCGCTGGACCTCTTCCTGCCCGTCGACGACGAAGAGGCGCAGAGTTCCGAGAGCGGCAAGCGCGAAGTGCCCAAGAGCTCAGAAGGCAAGAAGCCTCAGAAGGAAAAGGGGGACAAGGGAAAGAATTAAGAAGTCGAAGATGGTCTCCACGCGAAGCACGGAGCCAGCGTTCGCTCGAGAGCCCGACAAAATCTGCTGGCACGACGAGAACGTGTGATGCGTGTGAACGCACCCTTCCTCCCACGTGTGCTCAAACATACGTGCACGCACACACTTTCTCGCACGCACACACACACACAAAAATAACAAAGATCCCCCGTGTAAACATACAGGCGGTTGGGGCAAGTGCTGATATCATCTTATACACGCACATACATAGTACACACACACACACACACGCATACATACAGACATGTACACACTATATCCGTAACGTTGACATTACTTTAATCAGCTTCTGGCCTCTTAGGCCAAGCACAGTCCAACCTCCCTACGCGGGCAGACCATGCCGAGCACGTGAGAGGGCTTGACGGTTCA